CAAACTTGAGTTTTTAATGGTCCCTGGCATTAGCGATTCCAAATAGAACAATTCTGGGATCCAAGCCCCAACTCTCTCCAGGATTATACCATTTCACCTTTGATTCCGGGAACCAAAGTTAGCAGCTGTGCAAAGCTGTGCAAAGTTGCATCCTGTGCAAGGATCACATCCAGTTTGTGATTCCGCTCCGTTAACATTTAATTCTGAGAGTTGATAGCTCTGCAGATTCCCTCAGACATCCCTGGCAGCCTCAAAATGTCCAGAACAACCCCAGGGATGTTCCGCATTTCATAATATTTCAGGTATCCTGCAACTCCAAACAGCAGAAATCCTGTTATCAAAATGTAATTATGTACTAATCTTCTACATTAGCATCTGAAATAATCGTTAGGCACATAATCTTCCATTTCTGCCAGGAATCTATTGTGTTTCAGGAGTTAAAAATCCCGTTTGGAGCAAAGGAGACAAGCCTAAACCCTCAGCTATCCACCACCATGCTTAACAGTCGTAATGCAGATGTTTGTGCTGCTTTTTGAAGCATTCAGGCCAATTAACTCTACTTTGTTGTAGCTGGTTTATTTTTCACGCTTGATGCTTCAAGTCCTTGTCAATGTGGAGCAGAGCGGATGGTTCAGGCATGAAGTCAGTTGCTGATGTCATGCTCCTTGTGAGTTAGCTTTTGGGTTTCTGTTGTGTTTGTGGCGTTAGTCTTTGTTGTCTATTTGTGCTCATTGAGGTCTTGCCATATTAGTTCATACTTTTTGTCATTGATTTCTTTCATGCTTGAGTTATTTCACTGTTGGTGAAGGAGGAGGTGACTGTTGGTGTTAATTGTTGCTCTTAGAGCTTTGTTTTTATTTGCCCTTCTTTGTGCCTTGAGGCAGCTTCCCCTTCACCTCCTCCCACAGCCTCCTATCCTTCATTCTACCTCAGCTGCTCCACTTTTCCATTTGGTCAGCTCCTCTGGTTTATGTGTCATTCTTCACTCCTGCCCCAGAGTTTAAAGGAATAGTACACCCAAAACATGATTAGCCTTCATTTTCTACTCACCCCCATGCTGAACAACACTCTGGAGTACTTTTTTGATATCTCAAATGCATCTGGAGATCTGGGAGGCTTCTTGCTGTCTGCTGACATTCAAATAATGGAGGTCTATGGCGCCCGAGGCAGAAAGGTCCATAAAAGTCCACAAAAAACATGTCAATATTCCTCCATACTGCTCGTCCAATGTATTCCAAGTGTCCTGAGTGGGTAGCATCCATAATTTACTCGAAACGAAGTCATTTAGAATGTTTTTAGAGCATAAACAGTAGTGTATAGGATTTCCTGAAAGCGCGCACCTGCGCGTTCACGACGCTACGGAAGCCGGCAGACCAAACCAGCTGAAAGTGCGCATTCAGCATCTGCTCTGCCGATAATGCAAGCGTAGAAGAAGAAATGTGCTGTTTACCTGTGCAAAGAAAGAAACAACGAAAGAAAAATGTCTGAGGACTTCAGTGTTGAGGAAGAGCATGAGTTCTTTGCCGAGCTGAATGCGCACTTTCATCTGGTTTGGTCTGCCGCGGTTTCCATAGCGTCGTGAACGCGCTTTCAGGAAATCCTATACACTACTGTTTATGCTCTAAAAACATTCTAAATGACTTCGTTTCGAGTAAATTATGGACGCTACCCACTCAGGACACTTGGAATACATTGGACAAGCAGTATGGAGGAATATTGAAACGTTTTTTGTGGACTTTTATGGACCTTTCTGCCTCGGGCGCCATAGACCTCCATTATTTGAATGTCAGCAGACAGCAAGAAGCCTCCCAGATCTCCAGATGCATTTGAGATATCAAAAAAGTACTCCAGAGTGTTGTTCAGCATGGGGGTGAGTAGAAAATGAAGGCTAATCATGTTTTGGGTGTACTATTCCTTTAAGCTCTCTAGTTCTCTTAGTTTATTGCTGGATTGTAAAGTCGTACTCTATCGCTTTCCGTTCAGTTTCCTTTACTGTATCACTGTATTGGCCAGAATATAAGATAGGTTTTTTTTTTTTTTTTTATTAAAAACAATGTGAAAATCTGCGGTTGTCTTATAATCGGGGTCTGATCAATTATACACGAACGCAACAACAGAGGCTGCCATCCACCCATTCATCCATTTCGCTTTAAACGGGTCACGGAGGCAGCAGTCTAAGCAAAGATGCCCAGATGGCGCCAGTTTTTTTTTAAGCCAGTGACCACTGTGGTCAGAAAATTTAGATTTTTCTTATTCCATATATTCATTTATCCTATTCACTCAGTCTGTTTCACATGCAAGGCCACACAATCCTCTGAGTGATAGTGTTTGTAGACCAGGCATAGCTTCTTCCCAAAACAAGCAAAATTCTTTTTCATGGATTGTTCATAACATGTTTCTGTTTAACCAAAGTTTCTGTTATTTGTTTTGACCCTGATAACGTTCCATTATTGTAAGTAAAGGAAACACACTCTGCCCAGGCAGAACAGGGCTGAATACCAAGCAGTAAGGGCTGTATGATGAACCGTTCTCTCATTGCAAAGATATGAAAATAAAGCGCAGACTGAGTGAAATCCATCGATCTCTGTTTATTTAACTGGGGTGAATAGTTGAATGCTTTCTTCCCACTACACCTCAATGTGGCTGAGGGCATCTTTCTATCACAACGGAGAAGAAGTGACAAGGATGCTACAAATGGAGAGTCACCCAGTAAGTAGCCGCCCAGAACGGATGGAATCAAAAGTCAGGCAACTTTGCAGACATTTTAGGCGGAGTTATGATGCCAGTTTTAAAATTATGTTGGTCAACGCAGCGGAGGCATCAAACAACTGTAAGGCAGCAAATAGATACAGAGTTACAGAGTGCAATAGTAGAAGATAGGTGCGTTTAAAAAAATACAAAAAAACACGAACAGCAAAAGAGAAGCTCTTAAAAACAGCAGGGTGAGAGTAGAGGTGACAGCGAGCGCAGCGAAAGAGAGGACGTTTGTGAGTAAAAGCACAAACGTCCATGAAGCGTTCCATGAGCAAAGTTCAGACTGCATTAGAGAATCTTTCAATGCAATATCATTTAAATGAAATTCGTAGCACTTCAATATAAAACTGTTTCTTTAAACAAAATATATTTAGTTTGTCAGTCTTTTTTTTTTTTTGTCTTTTTAGTTTGTTCCTAAAAATTAGTCCTGGAAATAGAGGAGTTGTCTTATAATCAGGGTCTTCCTATATTCGGGTCAGTACGTCTATATGTTAGACTGTCCTGTCTGCACTTTGGTCCTGCAAACAACAATGGATCACCAGAGATGCGTTTGTGGGTTTATTGGGGTTTCCGAGGCATTTAAAGCTCTGACCTTAGGTGAATCTGCTCTCGGGAAGATCGGCTGCTTTCTTAATTATTTTACGCTTTTGAACATACTCTGTGGGACAGCGGACATAAGGTTTGAAAATGGCATTACATATCATACAGATTGATAGGCAGTAGCAGCTGCTTCTCAGAGGTCATTGTAACGTCTTTAAACTTTGGTATTGTGTCAACACACACCTTCATGCTACAGAGCAGCAACCAGTGAAACCAAGGCTTTTATAGAGGTTGTCCAAAAACAGCAGACATGAAGTTCTTCAACGCTTTTCATAATAAAATGCTGCAAAAAAAAACATTATTTTAACAAATTCTGAAGTTTAGTTTTCTTTTTTTTATGGATAAAAAGGTGGTGATATCTTGTTTTACTTGTAGAGATTTTAGCCATTTAGAAACAAAACTCTTCTTCTGAAGTCACAGCAGGAGGAACGGAGAGGGAAGTTTGCTCCTCATTTAAATCAAACCTTTTCCTTCTGAGTAACAGTGATGCTGGAGATGCCATGGCGTCATGACGTCTGTGATGTCACTGGGACAATTATTTAAACCTTTCTATTTCATCACTGTGGAAATAAACTCATCTTCTATTTGGGAATAAACCTCCTCCGTGCACTTGGATGATAGAATTAAACAAAAAATAAGTGAAACAGATAGACCATTTATTATAAATGAATGTTCTTTTTTGATCAATCTGTTAATCTGTATTATCTTAATAGTGTAGTTTAATGTTGCATATGTGTCCTTTCTCTACAGTCGCTCTCTTTTCTTCATTCTTGCTATCTCTGTCAGGTGTATTCATCTAAATGCGTAACCGCGCTGCTGTCAGTCCTGGACAGGGCGACCTTTGAAAACAGCATTTCATCTCAAAGGATTTCCTCCTGCTTAAAGGAAATAATTAAACTTATATTTTCATGCTTGTGTAAATCCGCGAGCCTCTAACCCAACCCTACTTTTTGAAAGGACTCCTGAGAAACAATAAAGGATTTTGATTCTTTTTCTTTACATTTTTATTCTCTAATTAAGGTTGAAAACCCTAAATGCCACATAAACAATAAAAAAGATAATACGTTTTCAACTTTAAAACTTAATTACAGGCTGAAGGATAAATTAATCATATCATGTTTGTGCAGAAAGACAAAGTATTTTGTCGTTCTGAGGTAAATCTGGCTTGAGCAACATTTCCTAAAGAAATCCCATGAGGCAGAAGTTCGTATCTCATTTTTTGCACCTCTCAGGTTTTGTTTTGTCAAAGTAATAAAGAATAATTATAAACAATTATTTTACTGCAGCAAACAGTATTAGAGAAAGAAAGTTAAAGGCAGAGGATGTCTGGGGCTGCAGCTGCTGCGTTGATCAGTGACAGCAGCAGCCAGGCAGCTGTGTACCCCCTGTTTGGTCCCTTTGAATCAATGAGCCTGGAGAGTCCATGCAAAAAAGTTAATGAGGCAACAGTTTAATTGAGGCAGATTAATTACAGAACCTTTTTTTTTTATTTAAACTCATTAAATCACCTGAATCCTCTGTTCTGTTTTAGATGAAAAACCGACCTGGTTTTCTTTTCCATGCAGGATCCCTATTTCCAAATGTGTATTAAAGATTTGAACTTTATATTAAGGTGTCATATTTTCAGAATATTGGCATAAACTCACCTGATGAGCATTTACATCCTCTCTAATTGATCAGCATTCCTCTTTAATCCCGTTTCAATTCTCCAGATGAATTTCTCTGCAGCGCAGCCATGCTTCCACTGTTGTCTACATGATGTGAACACACTGAGTGCTGCTACTACTGACTGTGGGCTCACACACTCACACACACACTCACTCAGAGGCAGAGGTACTGCCTTCAAAATAAAAGCACACGGTTCTTCATTCCTTTTGCTCTCCTGATGAAGAAGAAATGAGAACAGTGACAGAAATGAAACACCAATAACATGTGTGAATGTGATTTTGAAAGACAGGCAGTTTCTCAATCATTTAAACATCATCTGTTCCCACAAAATATCAATAAAAAATGTTTAATAGAATGAACTTACCTTTAAAATCAGCATTGAAATCTCTGATTTTCCATTGCTGGGATGATAATTGTTAAACTTTCATGCTCAAACAAAGCAATAAGACTTTTTCCTGATAGTTTTCTTAGTCCTGTTGGAGCCTAAAAAAGGGAATTTATGCAACCAGCAGACATGAACATGTTTGAGCCGCGTTGCCATCTGCTGGCACCACTTAGTCACTCATCCATCAGCATGGTAGCTTCAGCATCTTCAGTGAACTCTAAGCTTCAGGGTGCTGTCCATCCTTCTGAGCATCAAATATTTTTTATGCTTTTTACTCTTGATCTTTTCCTCTTTTTCACACCTCTGCAGAGAGCAGCATGGCTGTATCTGTCTCTCTATCTATCTATCTATCTATCTAT